TCAACGCATCATTACTTCGCAAAAAAGGGATTTACTAATACTAATTAAGTCATAATTTTGTGTAAATTTGCTGCTTCTGTAAAGTCCAAATAATAAGCTTCCTCCTCATATTTCCAATATGTGCAATATCACTTCCGCTCGAGGACGTTTGGAAATCAAGTTCAAAGTGCCCAAAGCAGATAATCGGAATAGATAATGCTGTCATTTTCTTTTATGTTGGTCCAATGCTTTCATAATCAGCATTTTCAAACATTGCTAATTGTTTAAAATCAATTTGCATTGTGTAAATGACACAAACTGCACGGGGAAAACTGACAATGTTGGTCGTTTGTCTGATGATCTGTAATTATTGCACCCGCAGTTCGCATAAATCCTGTCCGTGTGCACCACCAGATGACAAATGAATTAAGCTCAATCAGAAATCATACAGAAAATCAAATAAAAAAGGGCGGATTGCTTATGCAAGGAAAACATTGAAGCAGACGACGAAATCAGCATAATTTACGGAAGACCTATCAGTTCACGTCAATTTCGTATGATACAAACCATTTATAACGATGAAAGAATAATCCAATTCTTTACGAGCGACATTGAAAAAATCTGTCTGGCTACGATGTACAAATTGGATATCTTTATTCAAACACAGCAGATCATTGAACGGGTTGAAAGGGTCTACATGTATACATGTATTAATTATCACATTCAGCATTCACATTGAAAATTTGTGATTTAAAAGGTCCATTTACTTAAATTAACACTTAAAGATGAAGAAAAATCATCCTGTTTCTTGCCCATGGGTAAAAACATCCGTCTTTGTTCCTGTTAGTTCCATATGCTCTTCCTATGATTTTTAAAAGCGACACCTGCCACAGATGTACAAATTTTACCTGAGGATAAAAGTTGTTCTTGATACAAAATCCTGATTAAGGAATAATTTAGTCTCCCTTTTTATTACGGCGATATGTCATTTAAGTTAATAACTAAGCAAAATCAGACCTCATTGATTTATATTTCCAATAGCTTTGTGATCATAATCATTTCTATATCTCTTAAACTGACCCAACAAAACAAAAGAATTAATAATAAAGTGCTCAATTTCAGTAGCAATAGTTCCAAGGGGATTCTAGAAATCTAAGCCACCACAATGCAGAAATGATCAACTTTTCAGAACATAATTAATTGGACATCGTCTGTTTCAATATTCTCAATATCACTTTCATCTGAACTCTCTATCCCCCCCCCACCATGATCACCAAACCCTTATCTAAAACTTGTATTCCAATTAAGTTAACTATAGTAATATATAAATCTCTGTACCTTTACACACGTACCATAATGTGATATATGGGTTTACGATCAGAAGTTGGTTTTATCTGTTTTTATAACACAAGTGAATAAATTACCTAGATTGGGCGATAAAATATAAACCGGTTGTGGTGGGATCTCGCTGACAGATTACGATCTTCAAATCTGTCATTTGGGAGTTGACAAATTACAAGACAAAGAATATACCCTCTACTATGTATAAGGACCCATCTGTTCGGACCTAGTTTCGACATCTGCACAAGTCCCGAAAACTTCACTTTTCTTTGATTTGATCTGCTACTCCTCGTGGAAAGATAACGTTTATCGCTTCCACAAAAAAAAAAGTCAATTACTTCTAGCTTAAAATTTGGACAAGTTCATTGGTAATATTGAATTGAACACATTTTAAACCATCTAGCATTAGACCATTGATAAGGGTCTTAAATCAGATTCTCAAAATTTCATAAACTGAGAGAGAGATTGGGGAAATATTCAATTCTTCAATTTTGCAATATTTCCATTATGGAAAGAAAATGAATTTTGCCGTATTTTGAGTTGATAACAAATAAAGATATGTATCTTTTTTTCATATTGTCAGTAGTTTCAGATTAAACAATACTTTCATAGAATAAAATGCCCATAAATCAAAAATAACATTTATAGGTTCTAGACAAAGGATAGCATTAGGAAACACGGTCGATTACTTTTTCATTCAGGGTCGGGAAAGCTCTTGTAACCAGGGGACTGAATACTAATGAGCGGTAAACAGAACGTGATGCACTAGGTATGAAATGTCTATAAAATAGATCCATCTTGATGACAAATTTGTCTAAAATCTGTGATTCATAAGGAAATAGAAATGAATATGTATCTTTTTTCCCTTTTTGTTTTTACATACATTTAATATCTGAATTTTAGTTTATTACTCAATGTATAAATCCAGCATACTTTAAAACCCCATAAGCTGAGTCAGGTTAACATTTGAACCTTAAAAATCATGGTAAGCTATTAAGCCTTATCTAGGAAAATTATACATCAATATTTATTCGGAAACAATAGAAGTTAAAAAATAAAAATTCAAAAATTATTTCGATATATAGGAACTGAAATTTTCCCCTCTGGTAACAAGGGGCTCAAAATGGAATTTTTCGTACAATCAGTCTTGAAGGGATAAGATGACAACGGTACATAATGGTGTTTAAGTGATTTGCAACTTACATATTACATATATGTTTCCTGAACTTAATTAAAGTCAGTAACCTAATATCAAGGTAATGGGCTGCTTTAAGTAAAGACCAGTTACAGCAATTGTCTTAACCATCAAAGTTTACATAAACATACTGTTTTCTAGTTTCCTTCTGTACATTATGGTATTGTACCGTCGACAAAGTCATCAACTATCCAAGTCAGACTCAAAGTGATCAGATTTAGCTTTAACTCAAGTTCAAACTTAATTTCCCATAGCCTTAAACTAGAGACTTGAGCTCAAACTTAATTCTCCATAGACAAAAATGAAAGACTTAAGCTCAAACTTAATTTCATATTGACTAAAACAAGAGACTTAAGCTCAAACTTAATTTCATATAGACTAAAACAAGAGACTTAAGTTCAAACTTAATTTCATATAGACTAAAACAAGAGACTTAAGTTCAAACTTAATTTCATATAGACTAAAATGAGAGACTTGAGCTCAAACCTAATTTCCCAGAGACTAAAATGAGAGACTTAAGCTCAAACTTAATTTCATATTGACTATAAAACAAGAGACTTAAGCTCAAACTTAATTTCATATAGACTTAAACAGGAGACTTAAGCTCAAACTTAATTTCATATAGACTAAAACAAAAGACTTAAGCTCAAACTTAATTTCCAATAGACTTATGCTAAAGACTCAAACTGAGCTTAAGTCTCTGAACTTAAGTCCAATTTTAAGTCATTAGGAGATTCAGTTTGATCTTCAGTCAATTGAACATAAAGTTTGAGCTCCGCTTGAGACAGAGTCAAATGTTTCGATGATATTGGTACCACTATATGACACCTTAGTGAAAGGTTTCTTTTCCTGAGATTATTATAGCAATTTCATCTTATATCAATCAGAAATATCCTGATTTCAAAACCGTTGGGATTTTCAACAGTTAGTTTCCGTGTATGTATACACAATCGGAAACAAGGACCCTGCAGTAATTTACGAAAGATAAAAACCTTAAAACATAACAGTAAATGAACTACCTTATTCAGAATAATTTCCTTTGCTGCCACACTTTTCAAAACCCCAAAGAACATCTAAAATGCAAAGTAATCACAATGATAAAATTATTCAGAAAGTCTATAAAACTGCCTCCAATACTTAATCAAAATTCACTAATTAATTTCCTTACGAAATATCTTTTTTGAAGGCCTGATTGAGATGTTTCTCTGCTTTTAAAGTAACTTGGAACCAGTGATTCTGGTTTCAAAGCCAGGATGCTCCCGATCAATACAACTTGCAGTGTTGGAACGCGGAGATATAAAATCCGAAAGCAAAGACTGGTGCCACTGAGCCGAATCCTTCGTTCCCAAGAGGGTTTCAAAGACGACCGCAGTTTTACTAAATTTCTTGTTTGGAACTAAAAACTAATAAGGGTTTGGCTTTTTCGCTTTATTTCTGCCTCTCTGATGTTTTGAGAAACAATTAAGATTTCAGACGGCATGCCCCGAACATTCAGCGGAATACTCCACTCCTACGGTTGATGCCATGCTGGAGTCTAGCACTGCCGAAGTCAGTTCACAACCGATGAATATGCAAAGTACCTCTGGGACCGGTTACAGTTTGTATTTTCGTCCTGTGATATTTCTCCCCAGAGCCCAATAGCTAGGTTCGTAATAGAACCATCTTGTTGAATTAAATAATTCAGGATTCGGGCTCGGAGTTGTGTAAGCTTTTTCCTTTGGTTATAGAGTAGCATTGATGCTGTACACATCGGAGGCTTCCTTTGATAATAAAGTCCCGTTATGACGACAGGAGACAGTTAGATGGCCGAGATGGTATGTATTCCACTCACAGCGCGTCAATCAACGTGTACAACAACAACACAACGTGGGCTGATTAAATGTTTATTTCCACCATCTCTAGAGATTTGGAAACATTTCCTTGAAATTTTGTGTTATTATCTTACAACATCATTCAATTGATCTTCGATTGTTTGTTACTTGTGGGGGTTTGAGAATGGTTTAGAATATAGTTAGTTTTGTAAGTCACTCTACCACTGGTATTTTGAGAAATATACGTTGATGGATTGGAAATACATATGGCACTGTCCATTTATACAGCTTGGTAGACTAGATATTTTGGAATCTTTTTTTACTCTAATGTTATCCAGCTTATAAAGGTCAGTTTGAGATGAAGTGTGCAGATTATCCATAGAATACAAGTGTCTTACCTGCCAATACAGGTGGGTAGGTGTCTTATAGGTATATATACCTGTGTCCTAATCACTAACAGGTACATGTCTTTATCTTCTTATACACATAACTGTCTAATGTCCTTACAGGTTACATTGTATGTCTTAATTACCATCATTTACAGGTATGTATTTTACCTGGTTGTACAGGTACGTGTATATACAGGTACATATATTTTACCGATATACTTACAGGTAAGTGCTTTACCTGATTACAGGTAACTTGTCTTACCTGCTAACGAGAACAAATCTTACCTGGTTGTATTTCTTGGGACTGGTGCGGGTGCTAGGTGGCTGGTCATAGTAGGCCTGTGGTTGGGCAGACACACCTGCCGGTGACGAAGGCATGTATCCTACGTGTTTACCTTGCCTCATATACCTGTAAATACAAAATGAACATCACAGGTAAGACAATATACTCATATTTACCTATTTACAAACTTGACTTAAGTACTTATATATCCCCTACACATGAACTATCCTTTCCCCCCTCCCCTCCAAAAGGAACAAATGTCACACTATTTTCCCGAAATCATCATTTACATCATGAAATGAGCTATATCTGTAAATAAACATCTGAAACATGTACACAAATATACACAATACACCCTGTCTAATCTGACCCCTGAGTAATCTGATGTTCTGTCTAATCCAGTGGTATGCTGCTATCCTATTTCTTCTGACACTTGTAAAATAGACCTGAATATTCTGACACCCTTAATCAGACCAACGTGTCGTGTCCTGGAGAATGTCAGATAAGACAGGTCAATATGATGTATAAATGTATCTCAAAGGGTGTCAGATTAGACAGGTTTCATTGTAAGTACAGTTCCAAGTCTGTAGATGCAGTACAAGTATCACGTAAAGTAATATCAGATTTTATTTATTTTGCAATACCATCTGAATAAATCCACAACATGGTACAAATTTCAGCATTAAGACAATATTCTCTCTTATATAACCAGGATAATTTTTTATCCATTCACAATAATACACCGGACTGAGCGTCACAGCACCTGCAAATTTAATGTTAATCATCTAAATTGTCTATCGTTGTATAGCTCCGTGCTCCACCTGTACCTCCGAGCAACGGCATCGGGGACGTCTCGTTGAAGACGCTGATCAATACTAGAGATACAAGTTTCAGATCCGTTATTGGCGACATAAATTACAAGTAAAATTTAATAACCGGATACTTGCAATCTGGCACGAACGTTTCTATAAGTCAAACCAACAAAGGTCGGGAGGGGGACGAAAGTGACAACAGCTGCAGATTGTACCCCAAGGATCAGTAGATTCCATCTATTAACTTTTTTAACATCCTCAAACACTATCAACTGATGAGGAGACTTACTGCATCTCGGCATAAATGAAGTATTGATACATTGAAATTCTCGTCCATTAAACCTTTGGGGGAAGCTGATAGAACATTGAAGATATTGATACCTGAAGCATCTCCCAGATTAGGCAGATAAATGGTCGCTGCGTTAGCGACAGGTAAATAAATGCTTCAGTGACTGACTCAAGATTCGCTCAGCTGTATGAATCATTTCCTCTGGTTATGGCCTTCTTCCTACTTACAGAGCACTTAGTTACAAAAGGCGATGTTGACTCAGACGACAAGTATTGGGACAGGTAGTCGCGATTACGAGTAAACCTTGATTACAGGTAAATTTCAATCACCTGGATGGTTCACAAGAGCCTTATTGTATAATCCTTTCAGACAGGCAACCAAGTGATATCGGTGATTCCACAGTAATAAATCATATTTATATAAACAATTCGTGTTTGAAAATTAATTTGTCTGCGACAGACAGGAAACAAAGGATGTAAAGGCTGTGGTTTATATTTGAATGGCCCAATCGGTGGCTAAACAATGGCGCCTCCTCCGAGAGGCTGAGGAATTCTGATGTAGCATTGACGACATAAAATCTGATGACAACAGTGGAAAATGCCTCATGCCAATGGCACTGTCTACAGGAGTAGTCAACAATTTCCCCAAAACCTCATAAATATGGTTATAGAATCTTTACAAATTGCACTTTGATGACAGCGAGGTGAATTTAGCACTGTTATACGTTATTAAAACACCATGCAACGTGCATTTCTGGAACTGACTGGGTGGTGGAAATTGTTACGATCAGACGCAGTTTGTGATTGCCGTAATGAAATTAGTAGATGCAGTGTCTGATAGGTTTTGCGTGATTATTGTCACACACAATCTAATTGTCTTCCTCAGACGCCGGTCGTCGCCGCACATTTCTTGTCCTCATAGCATCCATACGCAAGTCACATTCGTAACGTGATTCCTTTATTAATTACTTCACCAAACTAGTATTTGTACTTTTAACTTATTGACTTAGACTGTGGCAATGCATAGAGAATATTAATGTTCTGATCTGTCTTAACTTGTGTAAATGTTTAGCTCCCAACACCCAACATTACATATTATGAATGTGAATTCCCTGCTACTCAGCAAGCTTCACTGGTAGTACTTCAAATATTACCATGACGGAATTGAGAAACAAGAGGCCCATGGGCCTTAACGGTCACCTGATATATTTATACAGAGAGTTGATTTCGTTTTAAACATGAACAGAAATATTATTCAAAGTGACAAAAAACAATAAAACCACCTTATTCAATATCAAGCATACAGATTTCAGACTAAAAAGGATTTGAAACTAGCACCTCTGATTCTAAACAAGGAAAATGAAGAAATTTTAGCACACTGACTCCCTTGAGCCCCACCCTACAGCCCTTGGGGGTAGGGCTGGCTCAAAATTTTCAAAGTATCAAACTGTCAACTCAAGGTTATAATTCCAATCAAGTTATTAACATG